GGGGGGCGCCCCCCCACCCGTGTGGGCGGAGTTTGTACAAAGGGGCAGGGGCAATGGCAGAGAAGGCTCTCCTCCTAGGCCCTGCCAACCGACATTCTCTTGCTGACGAGGTCCACAACATGCCCTCTCTGCCTGACTGGGTGGGACAGGTTGGTGTGATGGGGGTGAGACACTTAAATGGTCTGATGCGGTTATCTGTCTGTCTGTCTGTCTGTCTGTCTGTCTGTCTATCTATCTATCTATCTATCTATCTATCTATCTATCTATCTATCTTCATTGTGATACTGTCCTAATTCTGTAATAAATTACAAGGAAATTACTTAATTACAACTAACTTGGTTGAATGAGGCTTGACACTACTTTTATTGTTCAGCCACCCTTCCTTATTCCTTATTCATAGACTTCAGCTTCAGGCAATGTCCTCCATTTGTGAATTTCTTCACAATACTTTTTGAACAGTAATGCTAGAGGTTCTCCTGGAAGCATCCTAATGCTCTCAAGGAGATGATTAACACTGCAGTACAAAGCATAGTGATTAGGCCTTTGAAGTTGTTGAGCAAACTTTTGTGTAAATATGCTTAGAAGTGATTTAGAAAGCAGATTCTTAAATGCACTGAATAGCAATTTAGCTGTAGTAATTCCTTTTACAAACACTAAACACAGTTGTCTCAAACACTAAACACAGTTGTTTGGTTGATTTGCATTTCTTTTATCATTCGGTTAGTCTTAAAATTTTAGTAATTTAAATTTGAATCTCTGTTAAATGGCTACTCCCTTATTAAAACTGAATTTCTGAAATCAGCTTCAAGTTATTTGGTATCTGAATCTAATCAAAAATTAGTTTCTTCTAAATATTAACTACTACTAACACAATTCCTTCCCTTCCCTTCAAACATGATAGTGGGGCTAATAGGAGATGAACTTAAAAAAAAATGAAAGGCACTGGGACAGTAACCAAGAACTAGACTTATATTAGTTTTTATTCACTTCACCTTTGCAAATAAGATGACTTTGGATCTCGGCTCATTGATCTGCATTAGATTCATTAGTACATTAGCCCTTCTTTCTATTGTTATAACTGTATTTATTACTTAACAAGGAGCACTATCTGGCAGTCTTGACTGGGCTTGTAAACTAATCTGTATTGGGGCTGGTTAGTGCTTGGATGGGAAACCACTAAGGAATTCCAGAGCTACAGGCTGGATTAGACAGAAAAAAAGGACACACACATATACACACACATGGTCGAAAGTTGTGGTAAAACACTTCTGTATTGTTGCCAAGCAAATTACATGGATGTGTCCATGAAGTCACCAGGAATTGAGCTCAACTGGAAGGAAACTTTACTTTGAATTATTTAACTGTTATCAGTTTCACTTGAAGAGCAAGAACTAGACCCTTCATCAGCACCCGATGTTTCCTAAGATCATGTTTGTC